ACAAAAGACAGCAGTAATGGAGGAAATGAGGAACAAAAAGGTCTAAGAAATAGAAAACGAGTAACAAAATGGCATGTGTAAGTCCTTCCTTACTGTTAATTACTTTAAATGTAAATGTCAAACTCCAATCAGAAGGCTGAAAGGAGAAAAAAAGATAAAAAATATGATCCAACTATGTTGTCTACAAGAGATTTATTATAGATCCAAAGACAAAACAGGCTGTCTTTGGTTACTATTCCATGCAAACAGTAACCAAAAGAGGAGAGGTGAGGTTATACTATTACCAGACAAAGAGACTTTATATCAACAATGATACAAGAGGCATAGAAGAACCTCAAATATTGAGAAGAATCCATTCACCAAGAAGCTATAACAATTATAAACATATATTAACCAAACAGAATCCCTAAAGTATGTGAAGGAAACAGTGACAAAATCAAAGGGAAAAAGAGACAGTAATAGATGGAGACCTCGCTGTCCTGATTTCAATAATGCTTTAGAACAACCACACTGAAGATCAATAAGGATTTGAACATTATAAAGCAATTAGGTTGAAAAGAAATATGAAGAACACCATCCCAAAACAGATTACATAGTTTAGTCAAGTGCACAAGGAAAATTCTCCAGGACAGACCACAAAACAAGTCTTAATGAATGTAAAAAGACTGAAATCATACAGAAAATCATTTTTTATCACAAAGGACTGAAATTACATGAATAACAAGGAAAACTGGAAAATTCACAAATTGTGAAAAACAACACACTCTTATTCTTAAACAATTGGTCAAATAAGGAATCACAAGGGATATTTGAAAATACCTAGAAATGAATGAAAGTGAAAATACAACAAAACAGTGCTAAGAGGGAAATTAAGAAGTAAAAACATATGCATCAAAAAAGAAAGATTTCAAATCAGTAACTTAACTGCACAATAGTCAATGGTAGAGTCACTGTGGAAAAGTTTGGAGGTTCTTTAAAAAGTTAAACATAAAATTACCATATGATCTAGTATTTCCACCACTCCTAAGTGTGTATATATATAAAAGATTGAAAGCAGGGACCTGAGTAGATACATGTACACCCATGTTCAATGCAGCATTACTCACAATAGCCAAAAGGCAGAAACAATCCTAGTGGTATCAATAGATAAATAAAATGTGGTATATACATACAATAGAATATTATCCAGCCATAAAGAGGAATGAAATTGATACATGCTACAGTATGAATCAACACTGAAGATGTTAAATGAAATAATCTAGATTAAAAAAAAACACAAATATTGTATGATTCCACTTAGATGGGATACCTAGGATAGGCAAATTCACAAAGACCGAAAGCACATTTGACATAATTAAGAGCTGGAGAATGGGGAGTTACTGTTTTATGGTTACAGAGTTTATGTCTTGGGTAATGAAAAATTTTGGAAATGGTGAAAATGGTTGCAAAACTGTGGTACATTTACATAATGGAATACCATGCAGCAGAAAGAAGGGGCTCCTACGCTTTGCAACAACATGGATGGAACTGGAGACTATTATGTTAAGCAAAATAACCCAGTTGATGAAAAACAAGAATGTTATGATCTCCCTTATAAGGGAAATTTAATGAACAAAAATAAACTAATGAGCAAAACAGAACCAGAAACATAAAATCATGGAACAGACTGACAACTTGTAAGAAGGGAGGGAAGAGGTGGGGACTGACTGAAAGAAGGTGAAGGGATTAGTTAAAGAACATATATGAAGGACCCATGCACATGTGCAACAGTGAGAGGACTGATTATGGAAGTCAGGGTGGGCAGGGTGAAGGGCGACGAAGGGGAAAAAAGTGGGACAACTGTAATAGCATAAAAAATAAAAACATAAGAAAACCTGTTCAACCTAGCATTAAAAATTACGAAAATAATGCCACTGAATTATACACTTAAAAATGTTGAAAATGGCAAATCTCATGTTATACATATTTTACCAGTATTTAAAAAAAATTAATGTAGTATACCAACAACCATTGACTGCCCTGGCTGGGTAGCTCAGTTTGTCAGAAGACTGTCCCCAGTCAAGGTTGCAAGGCTGATCCCCAGTCAGGGCACATACAAGAAGCAATGCATAGATGGATGGAACCACATAATTGATGTTTCTCTCTCTCATGTCCTCCTTTCTCTCTATCTCTCTCAAAAATCAGTAATAAAAAAAAGGAACCACTGTTGTACACCTGAAATAGGTTAATTATATGGTATGTGAATTACATCTCAATAAAACTGTATTTTAAAAGAAGAGGATAGGAAACATCCCTTGGCAATGAGATGCAGAAGAAACAACTAAGATTTACTCTGAGTACCTCCTGTATGCCAGTCATTTTATATATATTACTATATATATAGTATAGAATTCTAGAGAAACTAGAATTCATACTTTAGAAATAAAACAATTCAGTTTCCTATGATGAAAAAGTCCTAGGGATTAATAGGATTCAATGGTTCCTATTGAATGGTTCACTTAAGACGCTTAAAATGGTAAATTTTATGTCGTGTATAGTGAGTCATGTGGCACACCTGAAACTAATATAATGCTGTGTGTCAATTATACCTCAAAAAAACAAAAACAAAACAAAAACAAAAACCCCAACCCCTAGATAAAATAAAATGATCAGAAGAGACACTTTTATTTTATTTGGGTTATTTTAATTTTCTTCAGAATTGAAATAAAAATCAGATACACTGAATTTTTAACCTGGTTTAACTAAAAATAATGTGTGATTTTAGCCGAGTCATTTAACCTTTTATTAGCTTCAGTTTTACCATCTTTCAAATGAACTTTTAGGTTTGGCATGAAGGAAGGAGGTTGTGTGGAGGCAAGCACAAAGAGTATCTCTGCACTTTCTGCTCAATTTTGCTGTGAACCTAAAACTTCTCTAAAAACTAAAGTTTATTAAATAAAATAAAACAGAAATCTACTTTATACAGGGAGCAGTGTGATGTTCAGCATCCATCAGACCACAATCCTACATTCTAATTAGATTTAGAACCTAGAATATTCCTAATGCAATCCAACGCGGGGTAGGGGGGGACATATTCTGGTATTTAATTCTATCTAAACCATTAGATTATCTATAAGATAGAAATTTTAACCCACTACCCTTTGAACCCCAATCTCTGAAAAGCAGCACGATTCAGTTTCCACGATTCAGCGGTAAAACAATGGCTGTGGGACCTCTAAGTGCTCAAGACTCTAGTACTGATTTTAATGTCAAATTCTGTAAACTTAGGTAATTTCCTGAACCTTTCTGTATCTGTTTCTTAAGAAGTAGACAGTAACCACATACTTTACCATTTCCCACAGAATATAAAAGGATTCTGAAAATTTAAGTATTTTAAATGTAAGATGGTACCATGTTTTTATTTCCAGTGATATGTATTATTTTGAGGAAATGTCAGCAAATGCAAAAATTATGTATTCTATATAAATAATATAAAGTACATTTGTTTTTATATATGACATCCACAAAATAATATTCTGTAAGCATTAAAATTTCAGTTATCCCATTTTTTGCAATACATTGAGTATTCAAAACTTGCCTATATCAAATTAAATGTGTGAGTTTCTTACTTTATAAAACTTAATAGTCATTTTATATACATCAAGCTTCATATTTTTGATTCCAGAGAAACTAATTTACCCAAAATGTTATGACAGTGACAGAACTAAATGTAGAACCAAAGGTTCCTGTCAAAGTAGTGTTAATTTTTCTACACTATGTTGTTTCACCATAACATATACCCTAAGTCTAAAGTTCTTTCTTAAAGTCATCTGATATATGTCTAATATTTCATATTCTTTTAAACTCCTTTTATTTTTTAAGAAAAAAAAAACATTTTTAACTGATTTTTTTTTTTGAGGGGGAGGGAGAGAGAAACATTGATCAGTTGCTTCCCATTCGTATTCTGACTGGGGATCAAACCCAGGACCTTTTGATGTACAGGACTATACTTCAACCAACTGAGCCACCCGGCCAGGGCGCTTTTAAACCCCTTTTAGATAAAATAAAATTTAAATTCCAAAAATAATATAGCATGTTTATAATTGGAAGCAGTAAAGACAAATGTAAGAAAACCCTACTTCCTCATTCTAAATCTTATAACGTAAATCCTGTAAGAAGTGTACAGTAGGCACAATAATATCCACCCTCTCCCTTGTCCAGACTGTAATCCCCAGAATACATAAATGGAATTAAAGTCTCTAGTCTGATTGATTTTGAGATAAGAGAAATTATTCTGGATTATCTTGTTGGCCCAATGTAATCGGTAGAAGAGGGATGTGAGGATAATGACTCAGTTAAGAAAAGAAAAAAGTGAAAACAGAACTAAGGTGGAAGTGATGCAATGTGAAGATTCAACCTGTCATTGCTGCTTTTGAAGACAAAGGTGCCCCAAGCCAAGGAATGTGGGTAGCCTCTTGAAATGGAAAGGCAAGTAAAAGGATTCTGCGTAGAGACTCCAGAAGGAAAGGACCTTGACTTTAGCCTGGGGAGACTGACTCATTGGACTTCTGACCTCAGGAACTCTAAGATAATACATTTGTGTTACTTTAAGCAATTTAAGTAATTTATTACAGCAGGCATTAAAAACTAATAGGTTATTTTCTTATGATACTATAATTCATTTTGGTGCCTATATAAATGTACATTAATAATGGAGGTTTTCTTAAACCAACAAGTACTTGCTGTACCACTTTTGTCTGTAACTTAGCTAATGGTATCATCATCAACACAGAAATACAAAATTTAAAACTTCAATCATCACTGACTCTAGCTCTGTCCTTTACTCCATACCATCCAATCAGTCTTTTAATTCCTTTCAATTTTATTCTCAAGAAATTCGAAGAGGCTTCTTACTTCTAAATATTTACTCATCTAATTCATCTTCCATACTGATACTCTTTCATCTTGATCCAATTTTGACTGAAGCACATTCTCCCCTCAAAGCTGTTTATTTTTTAGCCCTATGTGTCCAGGTCATGAACCAGGCATGGGCACAGACCAGAAGCCAAGCTGGGATAAACAAGGAGTTACTTTGTCCCTGGCTGATATAAGACAAGCACCACCAAAACAGATGTAACTGTACTCAGGTCAGGGACACCCTTCATAGCTTTTTAAGGTCTTTAATGATTTACATACAAAACAGTAATCTTGCTAATATGGGGATTCTAAAGACCAAAATAATCAAAAATAAAAACAGACTCACAGATGCTGAAAACAGACTGAAGGTTGCCAGAGGGGAGGGGGTCTGGCAGGCTGGGTGAAAAACATGAAGGGATTAAGAACTACAAATCTGTAGTCACAAAATAGTCCGGGGATATAAAATACAAAATAGGGAATATAGTCAATAATATTGTAATAACTATGCATGGGGCCAGGTGGGTACTTGAAATATCGAGGGACCTCTCTGTTACATACATGACTGTCTAACCGCTATGCAGTACATCTGAAATTAATACAGAATATTGAATATAAACTGTAACTGAAATAAAAAAGCATAATCTTGCAATTTATTTGTACCATTCTGTGATCTAAAAAACAAGTTGCCAGAGAATGGAAGATTTTTAGGACAGTGAAACTATTCTGTGTAATGCCAGTGGTGAATACATGTCATTATCAATTTATCATAACCTATGGAATGTACAACACCAACAGTCAATTTAATGTATAAAAGCTAATGTTAACTATAGGGCAATCACTTTGTAAGTTATATAAATGTCTACTCATTGGGATATACACCTGAAACTAATATAATATTGTATGTCACTGTAATGGAAAAATAAAAAATTACTGTTTTTTTAAAAGGCAAAATAATATTGATGTAGTTGATGGTACTCATTTTTTGATGCATACAATCTGATTCTATTATTAATCTCTCATTTCAGGAGTTTAATCCAGAAAATGCCCAAGTAAAACTTGAACCTCATTTTTTTTTTAGCAGAAAACATGATATATTTTTGTTTTCTCAGCAAAAGGTATTGCTTTAAAATTATAATTGTATTACCTGTCTGGTGTGGCTCAGTGGATTGAGTGCCAACCTGCAAACCAAAGGGCCACTGGTTCGATTCCCAGTCAGGGCACATGCCTGGGTTGCAGGCCAGGTCCCCAGTAGATGCGTGAAAGGCAACCACACATCCATGTCTCCCTCTCTTTCTCCCTCCCTTCCCCTCTCCCTCTAAAATAAATTATAACTATATTAAATCCTCCTAAAACGCATTTCCATTTTCTCATTTGTAGTGCTAATTTTTTTCAGACATTATCATATGAAATAATGACCATTATTTCCCAGCCTTCCCTCTGGATGAAGTGTGGTTACCTGACTGTGCTGTGGCCAGTGTCTATAAAGGAGCTTTTGAATTTTCCTTTCTTAGTCATTTTGGGTTGGTATAATAAATCACCGTAAACTAGGTGGCTTAAACAACAAACATTTATTTTTCTCTGGTCTGGGGGCTGGGAAGTCCAATATCAGAATTAGGTTCTGGTGAGAGCCCTCCTCCTGGTTTGCATATACAGCCTTCTTGTTGTATCTTCACAGGGTAGAGAAATTCTCTCAGTGTATCTTCTTATAACAGTACTAATTCTATTCAGGAGAGCTTCACCTTCAAGACCTAATTACTTCCCAAATGCCCTTCCTTCAAAGACCAACACAGTGGGGATTAGGGCTTCAACATATGAATTTTGAGGGACGACATAGTTTATGGTGTTTCCTAACAAAAAAGGTTCACCTAAGAAGTAACCACAGGAATGCAAGCCTGGGTCTGAAATGGAAGAACAGAAAAAAACAAAAACAAAAACAGAGTCTAGGTTCCTGAAGATACCATATTAACCTTGAACTGTGTACTTCACAACTTCTTTTATATTAGAGGGAAAAAATGTACATCTTTTTAAGTCTTGGTTATTTGAGAGGATTTGCTATTAGAAACTGAAAGTAAACTTAATAAAACATTTTCATGACCAAGAAACAGGAATAGAGTTCAAAGAGCTTATGCGATATTTACCTCAGTGGTGGGTCCATGAAAAATCTTTTCAATGCAAAATAAAGTGCTATGATTTACATATTGATCACTTAAACCACACCAAGTCAGATGTAACTTTAAACTTTCATCTTTCAATTTTACCTTCTCACCTAAATTCAGACCTTAATGACTTTTTGATGGATATGTGAGTTTCTACCATTAGTTAACTCTCTCATTCAATTCACTTTTTACACTGTTGCCAGAGTTATCATCTTAAAACAACACACTTGTACTTTTCACTTCCTTTCATAAAAATAACATTTTAAATTTCCTATAGCTTAATGGGATAGGTATCTTAGCATCAGTAAAGTCCATGATTTTGTGGTTTCTCATTGTTCAATTCATTTTGGTAGGCAGTTAAGTTACTTGTACATCAACTTGGATTTTAGGAAACAATGCTTATTTTCCACAATATAAATTCTAGAAACTCTAAAATTTTTGAGTTACTTTAATATATAAAAAACCTTTGCAGTCTAGTATGTGCCTTTGTACATTCTATTTTTTAAAAATGGAATGCCCTTCTCCACCTTGCAAACTACTACTGAACCTCCAAAACTTAACTGAAGTATATTCTATAAAATACTTCTTATTCAATGATATAGTTAGTTGATATACTTTTTTGGGCTTTGAAACTTCTCAGGTTGCTTACCAAGCTGTACTTTTCCAAGGAAATATGAAGTTCTTATTTTTTTAAAAGGTTTTATTTATTTATTTATAGAGAGGGGAAGAGAGAGAGAGAAAGAGAGGGAGAGAAATATCTGTGTGGTTGCCCCACAAGAACCCCCTACTGGGGACCTGGCCCACAACCCATGCATGTACCGACTGGGGATCAAACCAGTGATAACTTTAGTTTGCAGGTCAGCAATCAATCCACTGAGCCACAATAGCCAGGGTGAAAATACGAAGTTTTTAAAAGTTAGGTGTACTTTACTCATCTGGCAAAGAGCTTGGAAAACAGAAAGCATTCAGTCAATGAGAAATGAATGTAGAAAATCTGAAGATCACTTTAGGTACATGCATAATGCCATTTTTCTTATTTTTTAGTTAACAAAATAAAGCACCATTAGAATCCAAATTATAGAAATGTACTCTAGAAAGACAGAGCAGATATAGATCAGGGAAGATATAGTAGCCCCAAACAACATAGTGTGGTAGCATGAGTACAGTGAACATTGTGGTGTTTGTGATGAGATTCATATTTGTGTATATTACCTTTATATTGTTTTTTGATTGTCAAAGTGTATTTTGAAACATGGAAGAACAGCAGGTTTTTAAAGGATGTCAGCTAGGCATTAGAGGAAGGCCGCAGAGGGAAAAGGGGGATAAATGGTGATAGAGACATGACTCAGGGTGGTTCACACATAATACAGTATAAAGATGATGTATTATAGAATTGTACACCTTAAACCGACATAATTTTATTAACCAATGTGACCCCAATAAGTTCAATTTAAAAAAAGGATGTCAGCTGAGAGGTACTATTACTTACTCTGTAGTTTTGTAAACATCAGAATACAGCCCTGCTTTCTGATACTTCTTCTTTGGGGGACGTGGGGCCTTCTTTTCTCTTGGGATAAGAGAAAGCACAGGCTGCAAGGTACTTTCAGGTTCAAGAGGTTTGGCTGGGGTTTCAGGAGGGCTGGGAATCTCAACTGCTGCTTCAGTAAAGCTATAAAAAGAAGTTTAAAGATAATTTTATGATGAAATAATGGTTTCCTACAAATGACTGTCTATTGTAAAAAACATAACAGCAATTAAAAAGAAGAGATACGGAGTTTTCCTCATCTGGCCATGCTGGAGTAACAGATACCAGACTTCTCCTGCTGACAGAAACTAACAGAAATACAGTAAACTACTATAAACCTGGATAAAGTTTACGACACAATCATCAGATATCAGATAATGGTTAGGGCAGCATTGCAATACCAAAGAAAAATTGGCAAAAAAAACCCAAAACAACAGAGTAAAAGAGAGAGAGAGAAGAGTCCTATAACCACTTTGCCTGTATGAGGACTGTCGTAGAGGAAGCAGAATCAAAGCAGAGAATGCCCAACCTGATGGGTTGAAAAGAGAGAGCAATCAGAGTACGGAGAGGCTGACGTAGCTGAAATTTGTGGGGCCAAGTATTAAAGAAAGTTATGGATAAAAGTTAACTCTAGAAAACTGTGTATGGGTCTCCTTTAGTATACTGCTAAATACTAAGTTATTCACATGCAGGGTGAAATTCTATAAGGCTGGACAAAGAATTACCAGAGAACTATTACCTGAACAATCCTAAGAGGCTCATGCATGATGGTAGATACTCAGATTCCACTAGGCAGAGTAGAAAGACACTGCCCAATACCAAGAACATTCAACAGAGATCCCAGAGGGCAACATTACCTATTTTTGGAAGGCTCAACTATCCCTGGACTAAAGGCAAGCCCTAATAAAGCTTAAAAACAATCTTCACAAGGATCCAAGCTGATCTACAAGTAACTTAACTGCCTACCAAAAATAAACACTAAGGAAAGAACAAAAACCAGAAACACAATAATGCAACACCCACAATGTAAAAAAATTCATGAGAAAAAAAATTAGAGTAATGGTCAAAACTTTTCCAAATTTGATAAAAGGTATAAAATCAAAGTTCCAAGAAGCTAATAAACCATAAAGAATATAAATTCAAATAAAACAAGTAAGGCACATCATAATACATCATAATAAACTTGCTGAAAACTATTTGATGAAGAAAATAAAAGTCGCTAGAGGACAAATATGTGATATATACAGGAGTACAAAAATAAGAATGAGTGCAGATTTCAAGTATGAAACAATGCAGCCAGAAGGCAATGAACTAACATCTACAGAATTAACAAGGAGAAGGGGTGGGGGAAAGGGACTCTAAATTCATTAAGAATTCTAAATAAATAAAAAAAATCTTTAAAAATGAAGGTGATACTAGTTCCAGGCAAAGATGGAATAGACACTTCTTACCTTTCCTCCTATTGCAACTAAAGATCCTCGAAATTATATATAACATAAACATAAGCAAAAAGATTGTTTAGAGATCTGGAACTAAAGCAATGACATAGCAGGTAATTT